TGTCGCTCGGACAGGAAACGTCTCCTGCTCCGTTGCCCTGAAAAAACAACATTTCTCTTTCGATGTTCTCGTTGGAACGTTTCACGACGATCTTCCTTTCCTTTTTTCACGTTTCAGCCGATAGCTCTCAAGTACGATTAAAGTATATTAACAGCTAACAGCGGGTTGAATACGAAAATTACGTGTCTAGGATCGAGAACATTTCCCTGACTTCATTTAACCTTCTTTTGCAACAGAAGTTTTGTATAGTTCATTGTACTTAAAGCATAAGAACAGCGTACAGTATACGTTTACTTTAATCTTGTATATTCTCTCATTCTGAAAGGCACGACGTGATCGTAAATAACGGTAACTTTGATACAAAAGCAACGTACACAAGCGTCAATATCGTTCAAGAGGTCGGTTACAATTTGTCAATAAGTTTCCCGAGCTCCCGTCGTTCCGGCCCAAGGGCATCGCAATAAGAGGCTTAACCGAGTGCCTGCAAAACAGCGTCATTTCTCGGGATCGCGGTACGTTAGGAGTGTATTAAAGTTTCTCGCCACGCGCGAACAGTTGAAACGGAAATAGAGTACGGAGAGTCGAAGGATGCAGAAAGTGATATCTCGCGGCGGCGAAGAAACGCGCCGAGAGCGGCAGTGATGGATTAGAAATCGTAGTTTTCCTGGATTGGGCGTCGTCCCGTTCCGAGATCGGCGAGAGTTACGAGGTTTTCTCTCACAGGCCTGCAGCGTCAGCCGTTTTTGCGCTAAAATAACTCCCGCGGCCTGTCCCCGACGAGCACCGCGACGGAACAACAAATCGAGGGTAGCGACGTCGGTGTTTCTCTCCAACGTGTTCCCAAATCCTTTAAGACGATATCACCGTCGTTAGATCGTGCGGGACGCCCTTTCGCTTCCTACTCCGTACATTTTATTTATCGCACATTGGCTCATATAGAACAGGCCGTGAATAATTATTTTAAATTGGATAGTCTTGCCCTCAGGGGCTGTAGCTACGTTTGATTGTAGCTACAGTACGGGTTTAGCAATCCCAAGGTACCCGAGCTATAGGGAGCCCAATGGGCCCCAACATACTACCGACATCCTTAATGGGAGAATTACGAGGAGACAGATAAATGAAAATCTCCATGCCGCATGTGTGCGTCATGCGAAGCCAGTGTGTTAATTCCTTTTTGCTTGAATATTAATTTCTACTTCGCAATCGATGAATAATAATTTCAACGATACCGATACATCATTCCACCTTTGCTTGAATATTCTTCTGCAAATTGATTAATATTTAGTAATCTTTCAATATTAATTCTAACGAGACCAATATATCAATTCCTTTTTGTCTCAGGTAATTGGTAAATTAAAAATTGGCATTTAATAATTTGGGATTCAATAGTCTTATTTACATGAATATATCAATGATACCGTGACGTAAATCCTGCCTTCCTTCCTCTGGTTGCGGAGGTGGCGATATCCGTCACGCGCGTACCCAACTACTCGCGACTCCGACGCTTCGCGTCCTCGATGTCTCTCGAATCGCAGAAAGCGATCTTTTATTAGGTCGTCGCGAGCGAAACGTCGTTTTACCTCGCGAGCGAACTTCAAAGGCATGCAGCTTTCTTAACGCGTTGACTGTCGCGTCGCGCGGATTCTTCTGGGAAGTCCTCTGGGCGCCATTCCGTTATTTTGTAAACAACCTTAAGAATAATTGAAGTAAAATTAAGGAACAATATTACGCAGTTGTTATAATAACATTAAAAAACAAACGCACAATATAAAAGTAATATAAAGAAACTATATTCAATGTTGTATAGAATGTATAGAATGTATTCGTATTTAAATTATTGAAATAACGGAGATGCCTAATCGAAAGCGTCTGGCACGAAGTCGGTGAATCGCAACGCGTGAAGCCTGCGGAAAACAGTCTTCCTCGCCCCCCTGGGGTGTTGCGTTTTCGAGACGTTTTCGGCAACAATGGAATCGCATCCGCGGCGGCAGGAAACGCGATTCAGGCCAGCCCGTTTTCTCGTTATCGGGGAAACGGATCGTGGAAGTCGAAACCTTCGCTCGAGAGGAGGCCCTGTACCCTGTTCGTGGCTCGTTACGTTTCCAGGATGAAATCTCGAAATCGTCAGCGCCCGCAGTATTATGACGCACGCTAACGCACTCACCGTGGAATAACCCTTTCGCTAGTTATTGTCAGTGCTTGCGCGACGCGAAAACCGAGATAACGTAGCCAATGTAACAAGGTAGACGCAATTTCAGTTAACTTATTCTAAAAAGGCACGCGTTGCCAAGTTGGGAGATTTAAGGAAAATAAAAGCTAACTAAAGTTACACGGAAACAATGTAGAACGATGACCTAGCAGCAAGCCTGCTTTACAGCACTGACGATTCTTTTTACAATGGTTTTACAATTGCAAATGCATATAAAACGTGTTCTTTTGGGCTATTTATAACGAATACAGCTGGTTTCAATGACTAGAAAAATGTTCGGGGTTGTTATTTTATTCGTCTTTCATAATTTTATTAAGCTGCGAAAGGGAACAAAGAGAGGAGATTTATCGAACAGCGTCCGATCGAGACGATATATCGCGACGTTTCCTCGCGACCTCGTGCACGCATACGCATTGTGCGTCTCCCGAGAGATAGTCGACCGATAAGGGCCCCTGCTGATATCGGCCATGATTTATGTACGATTCCTATGGCTAGATTAAAAATCGAACTTGGAATGGGCTTTTGCTCAAGAATTGTTCATGGCGAAAGGCCTGTTATTACACGTTTTATCAAAGTTGATTAACCTGTTCCATATTGATACCTGGAAAAATCGCCTCTTTACGTGAGTTTATTTCTTGAAAATGATCAAACTCGTAAGAAATCTATTGATTTGTTATACAATAACTGTACATACGTAAATCTTATATTTTTGTTGTTCATGATTCTGCCGTTAGAGTAAAAAAGTACAACTGTGCAAAAAAATTGCGACCCAGGGAAAGGAGAGAGGACAAGATTTTCCTTTATTCGTGTTAATAGGTCGCGGCTCGTAACACAGTGTTGCTAACGCGCTCGGTAAGAGGCTGATACCGACAGTAGGGGATTTAATCGATCCTCTCGATGAAAGATCATTGGAAAAATAATATTTGTAAAATGTTAACCAACGGCGGAATAATCATATGGTTGGCAGGACTTTTTAGTAAATAATTATAGAAATTAATTTCGAAGGCAAGGTAATAAAGAAAGTAAATCTAGATAGAATCCGTGAATTTGGTGGCGTTACAAAAATAAGTAATACGGACAAACGTTAATATTGTATAGTTACCAATTGCCTCGAGAGAAGATTTTATCCTTGTAGAAGTTTTCACAAGTATTTGTTTGGCAATGAACGCGATCACGCGACGCAACGTACATCGGTCGTCGTGTCAACAAACCGCCCAGGTTACATCGACCTTTTCGAATTGTACGGTCCGTTCGAAGAAAGAAATTGTTTCTCTTGTGTCACCACGGTCCCTGACATTGTCTTCTCGAGGATGAATTCGAGCGTCGAGAGAGCAGGTTGTGAGCACCATAAGAACGCGCGGGCACAGAAACGAGACTGGAACGATTGCGTATGCACGGTACACAATAGGTGAACGTGCGTACGAGGTCGCCCGCGGAAAGGAACTTCCAATTCGACGTGTCTCGTTGCAGCCGGTAAACACAGGTGCAACCGAGTACGTCGGAAGTGTTTTTGCAACGGGGTATACAAAGCAAACCTTGAGAGAATGACCGATTTCGTAACACCCTCGTCGGCTCTTTGGCGTCGCTTCCATTGCAGCGTAACCCGAAACACGGTCGCAGAGAGGTTGCGATAGCTCGCTGCAAACGCTATGGTCAACACGCGCAGACATTCCTTCGGATTTTTTCTTGTGTAGCTACGGTTACATCGTTTAAAGCATCGCTAACGCGAATAATCGATACCGGTGATACGTGAAACACGTATGAATTACAGTTCAACCCCTCGTATAACACGTCCATTTCGTTCCGTGTTATATCAAGACGTGCGAAACCATCTGTACGATACTTACATAGAAATAGCACTCGAAGAATTTATTTGGAATATTTTTCAGGATCTTAGGAATTTGTACGTTAAATCAGAAATAAGATAAAGGTTTGCTTAGAATTTGTATAAATCTAAAAAATATATATTACGACGATATCGATTTGTAGAAAGTACGTAAATATTTATTTTGCTCGGCACTGATGTCTGTTTGAAGTTTGTAAAACCATGTTACATAGAAACCGTTATCGTGTTCTAGGAGGACTGTCGCAACATTTGCACCGTGTTATAAGCGGTTTGATCGTGTTATGTGCTTATATTCCGAATATCGCGAATAGCTCGAAGCAAGCGATCCCTGGACACGGTTTCCATCTTCCGTGCGACAACAAATTGTGACGAACCTTGAGCGAACGAGAGATCGTCTCTCTCCTCCTTCGATCCATCTCGCTGCTCTTAAAAATGCTCCCGATTAAACGACTCGTATTTCACACGGCCGTTTCTAGCCTCGAAGGTTAATGTCGCGACAGCGGCTACGTCAGCACCCAATGGCGCGGCGGTTCGTCGTGTGTCCTATCCCAATAGACGGAAAAATAATAGCCGCGGATCGCGAGATCGTTGGTGAACGCGCGAGATAGAGATAGAGACAGGGCCCGAGAAGCAGTCGATCCGAAGGACGAGGAAAAGACGTGTCGCGAGCGAGACGGTGGAAGAAAAAATAACGAAAGGAGGGAAAAAAGACACATGAGGGAGAGATTCGAGCATAAAGTGGGGAGGGAGGGCATCACGAGCTCGAACATTGCGGTAGGCTACGCATCCGCACATCTCGAGCGACGGACGGCTCGCGACTATGTGTGGGTGCGTCGCTCAGTGTGTACGTGAGCCGGCGGCTCTGATCGAGGCGCGGCGTACGACCCGAAAAGAACCGAAGTCGTCCGACGGAAAGTGCCGAACGCGGTCGGCTGGCGGGTCGGAGAAGTAGTGGTGCGGTGTACGAGCGCGAGCGAGAGCGAGTCTGTCGCCGGGAGTTGGAGAGTGTGAGTCTGGAGTAGTGAGTGAACGAGTCTGGACTAGCGGGCTAGCCCGGTTCCGAGTCAGTCAGTGTGCCACCGGCGACCGTAGCCTCGGCGCGGAGAACGTGGATACGCTTCGACAATTTCTGCTATCGCGCTTTTCTCTCTTTCTGCTTGTTGTGCTGGCTCATTCGCAAATACATACGTACAGTGAAGCGATCAGCGAGCATTATTTTTCCTCGATAGTGGTTGTACGATCGATCTCGTTCGATCGGATGTTCTCTCGTTCGAACAGACCGTCGTTGTGTGAAATCTTTCCGCGATATACCGACCGTCCGACCGACCGACCGTTCGTAACCCGACCGCCTGTCACCCCGTTTCTCTCGTGACAAGTGTAACGACCCGCGACACCGGTGCTCGACCAGAAGGAAACGCGCGACACCGAACGATCGACCGATCGAATTACAGCGATTGAACGGGAGACGGCGTGAACGTCGCTAGTATCGAAAACTGTCTGTCCGCGAGAAGCTGACCGCCTGCCGGCAGAGTATCCGGCTGTGCGTCACGCGTGCCACACGGGACGAAGACACCGCCGGAAGAGTTATACCTCCCACGAAGACGTCCTCTTTCCTCTCGTTGACTCCATCCGAGCTAGAGCTTTCTTATCACGAAATTCATCGAAAGTGTAATCGAGTTTTCCCGTGGATCTATCGGTGGGGAAAGTAAAGTGACCGTGATTCGAGACACTCGGAGATCTCGTTCGGTGACATTTCCTTCGTTTCTCTTTCTATCTCTTTTTCCTACGCGTACATCGACTATTATCGCAAAGTTCTGTTTCGATCGTGAATAATCATTGGTAGCCCTGTGTGTTTTTTTTTCTCTCTGTTTCTCGAGTGACGGTGAAATTCGACGTAACCGAACAGGAGACGAGTCTCGAGAATCGGTTAGTTCGAGTGTAATGTTAAATCGTTTCGAGCAAGTGTCGAGCGCGAATCGCTGAACATCAAAATGGCAACAGTGGTGTGGTAGCCCTGGATCTACTGGCGAGGACGGATTGGCAACAAGGAAGAAACGAAGGAGGTGGCAAACGGTAGAAACGATGCTCGAGGATCAACCGTTGGATTTGAGCGTCAGAGTGGGAGATTACGCGGAGTTCTCCAGGGAGGAGAATGATCAGGATCACGAACGGAAGGAACCGATCGACGACTACGGGAACGCCGCGGCAGCGCTCAGATTACGAGGATGCTTCGTCGCCGCGACGACCACCGAATACTCCCAGGAGAGGGAGGATCGTACCTGTTCCGAGGACTCGGACGACTCATGTTCCGACAACAATCAAAAAGACGGGACCACGAGGTCGAGGTCCAGACCACCAGGCACCAAACCCTACAAGAAGAATCTTATGAGACGATACCGTGAGTCCCTATTGCAGTTTCTCTATTTTCGCGCCATTTCGGCCGCCATTATGCGCGCCAGAAACAATGACAGATCCGAACGTAATCGAGAATCGAAATTTACGATGCAACGAACATACTCAAACTTTTTGGCGTTCTTTCTCCTAGAGTATAACCTGCTTTACCGTAATGTTACTGGAATTGGTCCAATTACTATTATAGTATTCTTAAAAGAACGGTAGGAAGTTTTTTTATGGTGTCTGAATATAGTTGCTGCGACTAGATGTCACGTCCATACAGTGTCTTAGTAGATTTTTTCCCATGCAGAGTAAGTTTATTTTTTTCTTACAGATAATTGTTCGGTATGTGTTGTTGATTGATAGCCTAGATGGATTTAGCAAAAATACTTTAGCTAAAATAATGTGCCTGATCGAAAAATCCCGAAGAACAATTCCTGTTTACGTCAGAAGACTTGAACTTCAAGTATAGGTTTAATGTGTGCTCGTTAAGAGTCATGTAAATTTTTTTTTATCGAAACAGGCATGAGACCATATTATTACGTATTTCGATAACGTTTGATCTTCGAACGTAAAAATAATTCACTTGATAATCGAGTGTCGGTCGACGATGTCGATAATTTGCTAACTATTTAGGAATAATTGTCCGTGGAGACTAGCAGAGATGTTATCGTCGACGCAGAACGATAATTTCTCTCTCGATATCACGGTAAACGGATGGCTTAGTTTTTTTTTTACGTCACGAATTTTGCTAAATATTTACATTGGATTATCATGTAATTTCCAAAAGAATTTTGGATATGGATAAAGTATCGAAAAATATTGCTTGCATATTTTGCATAATCAACTGGTATTTATGTTCGAGAGGTCTTTTGCATACTAAAAGAGTATGTACAACGTGTATTAATTTTTGTTAGAAAACAATAGGAACGTATGTACATCATGTATTAATTTTTGGTAGAAAACTATAGCGAATAGATGCTCCTTTCATAACCAGAGGATACCGTTTCTTCAAAAAAGATGTCGAACAGAGATGGGCAAAATTCTCACATATCTGTTCGGTCGAATCGCAAATAAATTAATATACCGTGTACTCATTCGTCAACCGTTATTACAATAATTTGCTCATCTCTGGCGATCGGATCGCATGCATGTTCGGGACGCTTTGGTGACCCACTGTGAGAAGTACGCGTGATCCAAGGTGCACAGGCACGCGTGTACGACGAAAAAAAAAAAAGAGAGAGATCGGTACGCCAGAGTGCGTGGCGTACATACTCGCCCAACCGAAATATGTGCCCCTGGCTCCTCTGGTTAGGTAGCTTCGTAAGACAGACAGAGAAAGAGAGAACGTGAGCGTGCATGCGTGCGTACGTGAACGTATGCCGTACGTGTGCGTAATTTCGGCCGATAAAAATATTACGCAAGCCAGCCCGCGAAGGTCGTTCGACGACGGGACATTCGGGTGACGGTAAACTCGCCGAGATATTCGACTGTTCAAATAATTTTGCAATTTCTCCAGTTATCGCCCTCCCTTCCACTCCTGCTCTTTCTCCTGCTCCAGGCACGGGAGGAGGGAGATAATACCTTGTGACCTGCCCCAATCCCAACCAAATTAGTCTCTCGTATCGCTGTTCTCGCTCGGCGGCTAACGTTTTCCTTCGAGATCTTAGTTATTATGTCCATGCTAAATTTTCTGCTTTTATGTATCTCCATCCAAAATTCGCCGCATCGGCTCGCTGTGTAAACCGATGCGAGCTGAAAATTTCCTAAAGTGTTGTTTTTATTTGACCAAGTGGTTCGTAACCACCTTAGTCTTTTCGGCATATTTCGAAATCATGAATACTTGTAATCATTTATGCGAGGTTAGCGGTCAGAAGATTCGTTAGATTCGTTAGGATTAATTAGTAGTTAGAATAAGAAAAGAATGATTCAAAATGTTACTTTAGTCGAGGACAAGACTGGTTTTGTAACCAGGGTTCGTCGATTATATTCGTGGAGAAATATCGGAAAGTAAGACTGCGGAACTTTAGGAAAATATTCTTAACCCTTTCGAGGGGGTGTAGGTCCGAGCCTTACGGGGGGTCCTTTTTCCTGGAAGAAAGAGGACAGGCGTGGTCCTCGAGGACGAGGAGAAAGTGGACTCGAGATTTTCGAGGAAAATTTCTCTCATTTTTCATTTTCGTCACAGTCCTACCTAGGACTAATGCCTCCGGCAGCTTCACGTGCCCACGGTGGCTTTTCCAGCTCGAGAACGATTTTTCAACTTTCACCAGTTCCGCGGAAATACCGATTTTCCGGTTCACAAATCGCATTCATATTCACAGAGAATACGCAGAACTAGGCAAAATTTGTATGCTGCTGAAAATGTCGCAGACAGTTATTGCCATTTTGTTTCCTAGGAGTCAGTTAAATGTAAAGGGCCAAGGGACTTACTAATAACGGGGAAACGAATAAACGCGGCCAATTAATTTCGCTATACGTTGGAATTCTCCATTATTTATTATTCGAGTATTTGCCCGTGATGCAACGTCTGCGTAGACAGAGGATGGAAGGTTGAACTCGTGTAAACAACTCGGAAGGACAGGCTTGAAAAGACATAGGAATGAAAACATAACACAGAGACTTCTCAGAAGAAACGCGCAACGGTCGCCGAGAAAACGACTCTTTCTCTGCACGTGTTCCACGATGCGGTGGAAACAGGGAAAAAAACCGAGAGAAGTAACGAAACGTCGAATCGACTCCCCGAATTATCAGTCGTAAAAAAGCAATGCGTTCGACTTCGTAGGCCAAAACGTCAACACTTTTTCCTTCGGTTCTGTTCCTTTTTTTTTGTCACCTCCACCGGCCATAAAAAGTCGAGACTTCGTTTACAGGAAAAAAAACCATTTCTCGGGGTCGAACCCTTTCCTCGAATCGAGACACTGCCCGAAGCTACATAGAAAATGCGATCGTCTTGTTTGCATTGCCAGGACGAGTTTTCCTTTCTCGTTCCGGCCGCGAAGAAAAGCGGAGAAAGAATCGAGGATCTCAAGTTAACGTTCGGCGACTACCGTGGGTCGACTCGTTGGCTTTTGCGGTCTTTCCCCTTATTCCTGTTGCACCCGGAAAAACTTTCGAAACCTTTCAAAGGCCAGGTAGCCATGTCGATTATAAATTCACCTTCCACCGCTTCCATTCTGCAGTTATTTACTAGGGTGGTGTATAAGTTTGTGTTTCTTTTTATTAACCCGTTCAGCCTTCATTTATTACGTTTGTAAGTTTCATTAGGTAGAAATACGTTGTGAAAGTGACATTAGAAGACTCGAAAAATTTGTGGACCATCGTGGTAATATCCGCGATTATTCTCGTCCTTTCGAGGATATATCGAGCGACGGCAACCTGCCTCGGGTCTTCGTTAATCAAGAGCCCGAGTCTCGAGCGCTTATTAATATTTTATCCGATAAAAACGATGTCGTGGTGGTCAGCGAGCAGTGAGAGCGTACCAGTAAACGGCAAACAGCCAGCCATTCTCTATTCTTACGAATTGATAGATTTATTCGCCTGGGATCTACACTTGTCGATTTAATACCGTGGTTACCAAACGTGCTTAGAATGTATGTATTTATACATACGGTAATTTGTATATGTAATTTATACATATGGTGGTACATGTAACTTGCTCACCCCGATCAATAAAATTTTGTATACAAATGTTTTTCATAAAATTTATTCTTTAGAGATTAATTGAGTTGAGCAACTTATGTGGGCCACCCTGCATACATACGGATATTTGGAAGATCGTGTACGTATATCGACTATGGTATCTCGATCGATATCGTTTCGTTATCTGGGTTGTAATTTTTACCTAACAAGTACAAGATTACAGGTCATTTGTCTTTAAATCTTTATTCGACTTCGCATCTTTTTTGATTTTTTAAATTACTCGATATCACGGTTCTTATCATCGGGCGGTGTTTTTTGATAGCCGCTGATTTGCGTGTACGGAAGTCAAAGTGTTTCTTTTTCTTCGCCAATTTATAGTCGATAATCAGTCTCAAGTGGCTCGAGAGCACTTCGCGATCGATCGGACTACCCAGATGGCTATACTCGTTCGATAGGAAGATAAGTCTAATGTATCGAGTGGCGTGGAATTACGTGTACAGCGATAGTAACAATCGGAGAATAGATAAGAAAAAAAAAATTCTACTTCGTGGACTCCAACAACACAGTTAGTAAATTCTAGGAGATAAACATTAGAATTAAATAGTCTATAAACATGTAAATAGAGTGTTATTAAGTTTCCAAAATCGACCCCTGAATCATCCAAATAAACGAATAAGATTATTGGACAAAACAAAGTTCTGTTCATCCGAGTCGAGGCAGGAGGAGGATCATCGACGTGTTACTTTATAAAAGAGCCTCTAGGGAGGCGCGCGCGCGCGTTGCAGAAGATACATAATGGCCAAGGAAGGAAAGAGGACGGCTTCAAGGGAGGGGGAGAAAAGGATAATTCCAGCCTTTAAATCACTCGAAGTGAATTCGAGCGGACATTCTCTCCGTCCTTCTATCCTTCCATTCGCTCCCTCAGCCTCTCTCGCCCTCTCCTTTCGCGAGAGTGGCTCTCGCCATGAGCGGAGGAAGACAGATTACTTCCGGCTGCGCTCTCTTCTTCTTGCGCGCCTTCGAGGAGACAGAGTGAGAGAGCCTGGGGCCGGGTTAATCAGGAAATGAAGACCGTTCGATCGCCTCGAGGGGGAAGAAAACAGCGTCTGTCGATTGAACAACCACCAAGCAGGGTTAATCAGCGACCAGGGGGTTGCGAGATCGTTCTCGGATCAACGCGGCTAGCACGGCAGAAAATAAGTAACAGACACGCCCCGATGATTGACGAGTCGCGCCCTCGTTGAGACTTTAAAGCCCTCTTCAGATTTGAAGTCAGAGCTGGATAAAATTTACAGGACTAGTATTTTAATATGTCGTTAACATATCGTTTAACCTTAAAAGTGACGTCAGGGGCTGTAGCTA